GGGTCCAGCCATGGCGACGCATCTAGAGCGCATCTAGACCTAGACTTTTCGATCTCCGCGCTTGTCGAGCTGACTTGTGGGACGTGTTTGTTCGGCTGCTGTGCTCCTCTCTCCCGCGTCGGCGACGAGGACGGGGGCCAGGCACGCCCCAGGCCAGGTCCGGCGGGGCCCGGGAGGCCATCCCGGGAGGCCGCCGAGGACTTGGCATCGCTCGGACGTGTGCATTTTTCCTTCGGCGAGGACCATCGAGCAGCATCCTTGATCATTTGGCGAAGAAGCCACGCACGAAACCGAAAAAAGCACAGGGAATGGACGTCCGAGCGATGGCCAGAGGAGGGGTCCTGCCAGGAGGGAGCTCCCTCTAGGGGCGGGGGGGCCGCAGGCGGGGGCCCTCTCGGAGGACGGGCCAGAGCCAGCAAAGGGCGGGGGTGCGAGGAGGAGGAGGGGGAGGAGGAGGGGGAGGAGGGGGAGGAGGGGGATGGGAGGGGGATGGGAGGGGGAGGAGGGGGAGGAGGGGAGGGAGGAGGGGGATGGGAGGGGGGGGAGGCGGAGGAAGACGAAGAGCAGGAGGATGATGGAGGGCAGGGGGAGGGGGTGAGGGCGTTGCTTGGGAGGATGAGGATGAGGATGATGATGATGATGCTGCTGAGGATGAGGATGATGATGATGAGGATGAGGATAAGGATAAGGATGAGGATGATGATGATGAGGATGAGGATGAGGATGAGGATGAGGATGAGGATGAGGATGATGCTGATGATGATGATGATGATGATGATGATGATGATGATGATGATGGTGGTGATGGTGGTGATGATGATTATGATGATGATCATGATGATGATGATGATGATGATGATGATGATGATGATGATGATGATGATGATGATGATGGCCCTCATCATCATAATGATCTTGCTGATCATAATGATGATGATGATGATAATGATGATGCTGTTGATGATGATGAGGAGGAGGAGCATGAGGATGAGGATGATGATGGTGGTGGTGATGGTGATGGTGATGGTGATTGTGATGATGATGAGGAGGATGATGATAATGATGATGATGAGGAGGAGGATGAGGATGATGAGGATGATACTGGTGATAATGATGAGGATGATGAGGATGATGATACTGGTCATGATGATGATGCTGATGCTGATTATGTTGCTGATGCTGCTGCTGATGATGATGATGATGATGATGATGATGATGATGATGATGATGATGAGGAGGAGTAGGAGGAGGAGGAGGAGGAGAAGAAGGAGAAGTAGGAGGAGGAGAAGGAGGAGGAGGAGGAGGATAGGAAGAGAGGATGCGAGGAGGGGGAGGAGGATAGCAGGATCGGAGGAGGATAAGAGGAGGATCAGAGAAGGAGGAGGTGGAGGAGGAGGCGGATCAGAGGAGGATTTAATGAGGATGAGGAGGATCACAGGCGGAGGACAACAGGAGGAGGAAAACAGGAGGAGGATAAGAGGAGGATGAGGATGAGGAGGAGGACGAGGAGGAGGAGGAGGAAGAGGGGGAGGAGGAAGAGAAGAGCCCCGTGCCCTCCGCTGCCCCCGAGGCTGGGGGGCGCTGGACGTGCTGCTGGACCCTGGCCCTGAGGCCCCGTTCCGGCCTCGCCCCTCGCGCCGCTCCTCTGCTCCTGCGCCTGCCCCTCCGGGGTCCACTTCGATGCGTACTCGGGGGCGGAAAAGAGGGGGGTGATGACTAGGGGGGGGGGCGGGGGGATATCATGGCGGGGGCCATGATATTTCCCCAGATCTCGTGGCGCCTCTTCTTATTTCATTACTTCCCTGGCCCCTCCGCTGGGCCGCTCACATGCCGCCGGTCATGATTTGCACCCCCCCCCTCTTGGACACCCCCCTCTTTGCCGCTCCCGACTCTGCTCCTGCGCCTGCCCCTCCGGTGTCCACTTCGATGCGTACGGTCGGCCCGATCCGATTGGGGTTCTGTGTTTCAGTTGGGCCTGTCCCTCCACAGCAGGAATACTCGCAAAATCGTCGACAAATAGTCCGGGGACGAGTGCTCGATTTTTTTGACCATTGGTGGGTCTGTTTTGCCCATGTTTTATTCTTCGTCCAAAATCCCCCTGTAGGAGGACAGGCCCGACTTCATTCTATGTTCGACGTGTGCGGACGTGCTCGTCCGTTCCTGGAGTTGCTGCTGCCTCGGGGAGGTCTGGGAGTTTAGGGCTGGAAGTCCTACGTTTTCGAGCGTTCGCCTCGGCTCTAGGCACGTTTGCGGCCTCGGGGTGCGTTCCAACGGCTGCGCCTCGCCCAGGGCGTTCCCGGGGGGTGTGCCCAGGTTCGTCCCGAGCGGCCGCCGGAGACCCGAGCTAGGACCCGAAAGACGAGGGAACTTTGGGTGCCTCAGGATCCGATCGATCCGGCTCGAGATCGATCCCGGCCACCCCGATCCAGCTCTTGGCATCGCTCGGACGTGTGCATTTTTCCTCTGGCGAGGGCCATCGAGGAGCATCCCTGATCATTTGGCGGAAAAAAAACACGCACGAAGCCGAAAAGAGCACAGGGAATGGGCGTCCGAGCGATGCCCAGAGCTCGATTCTCAGAGGAGGGCCAGCCGAGACAGCGGCGGCACTCCCTGGCGTTGTGCGTCCTCTCATGGGGCCTCCTCGAGGCCTCTCGTCGCCACGGGTTGGATGTAAGTCAGGAGGGGAAAAAACACACAGACACAATTAATCGTGGATTCCCCAGAAAATATGGGAAAATATCGGAAGTGAGGGGGGAGACAAAAACGCAGAAAATATTGGAAAGTATGGGGAATCCTTTTATTTGTGTGCATTTATTTGTGTGTCCCAGGGTCCCTTCAGCAAGACGGGCATGTCCCTCTACAGGCTGCAGGAGGAAGATTCCAGAGTAGTGCCAGAAGCGGTCTGGTGACGATTTGTCGTGTTTCTTCCTGCTCTTGTTGGGCTGTTCTTTGGCCACTGCTCCTTCTTTCTTCCAGCATCCGCCTTTGGGAGGACACGCCCGACCGAAGGCCGGACCCGCCTCGCAGAAGGGGTCCGGGTGGGCACCGCGAGGGGTCCGGGGGCACGCCTGGAGCGGCTGTGGAGCGGGAGGAGCCGCCGCCGCCTCGGCTGGCTGTCCTGGCGGACCGAGCTCCCGAGGTCCCAGCGACCCGATGCTGCCTGGCGCCTGCAGGGCGCCGCTGTGCATTCCCCAGGCCCCCTCGAGTTGGTCATGGTCAAGGGGAGTATTTCAAAGATAGTTGAAAAAATGGTCCGGGGACGATTTGTTTTGACCAGTTTAGCATGTTTTGTTGTTTGACTATCTTCAAGTTTTCGTCCTGAATCCGCCTGTACGGTGACATGCCCGACCTAAAGTTATGGAAACATCGGGACTGGAGGTTTTTCACTATTTTCGGCCTCTGGGGGCCCTCACTGGCCCTCGGGACCGTCCACGCAACGGCTCGGGATGAGAAACCGGTCCCGGGGAAGGAGTCGAGACCTCTGGGGGTCGACGTAATGAAACAATCATGACATTGGGGGGCTGGGTCCAGCGCAGCCGGATGCAGCCCGAGCAGACGCATACTCCAACCGATCCGATTTCCCGATTCCATGCTGACTGGTCTTGCTCCTCCTCCATCTCCACCCATGGTGCCCAGCGAATATCGGTGAAGCGCACCTGAATTGCAGGCGTCTGCACAGGGGCACCCAAGCTCATCCTCCCTTCGTATAGCAGGAAACACGCCTGACTATAACCTGCGACATCCGAGAAAAAAGAAACGACAACCGCATAAACGTACGGAGCTTCGCCTGACTTTCTCGTGTCGGCGTTGGACTCTTTCCTTCGTCTTCTCTCCTCACGTCCTCCTCACCCTCCCTTCTTGCTCCCCCCTAATCGCCCCCCTACCCACTCTGCATGCCCCCCCTCCTCCTTGCGGCCACGAGTTATATCCATATCCAGCGCGTCTTGGACTTTCTTGGAAGAGGCACCACAAGGCCAAGGCGCACTGGAAACGGGTAAAAGTCGAGCCTCCAACGGCAGATGTTTATCCCTAAGTATCCAGTGCGCCTCGGACTTCTGGGGAAGGGAGCCCGTGGATATGGACAGGAGTCTTACCCGCAATCCTCCCTCCTCCCTAGACCTCCGACGTCATGATTTGTTCATGACGTCGACCCCAGAGGTCTCGACCCATTCCCCAGGACAGGTTTTTTGTCTCGAGTCGTTCTTGGACGGTCCCGAGGGCCGGTAAGGGCTCCCAGAGGCCGACCATAGCGAAAAACCTCGCGTCTTGATTTTTTCATGACCCGAGGGGGTTTGGGTGCTGCTTCTCCTCCCCCTCCTCCCGGGCGCATGCATGCCTCCTTCCCTCGACCCCCCCCTCCTCCTTCAAAACAGGACCAGACGCCCCGCCGTGGCGAGCGCGTGCGCGCGCCGCGAGGGGGGGAGGGGGGGAGCGATCGGCGCGGGGGCGGCCCGGGCAGGTCGGTCAGCGGAGCCGAGGCTTTCCCTGGTGGTGAGGGGAGCCTGGCCTGCCTCGGATCCTCCTCCTCGTCCTCCTTTCCTCCTCCTCCTCCTCCTCCTCCTCCTCCTCCTCCTCCAAATCCAGACCCCCCTCCAAGTCCAAATCATGACGAGAGGTTTTTCGCTACTTTCGGCCTCTGGGGGCCCTCACTGGCCCATTGGGACTGTGAAAAGACGGCTCGGGATGAAAACTGGCTCCTGTGGATGGGTCAGGACCGCTGGGGGTACACATCATGAATGAAAACCTGACGTCGGGGATCTGGGAACGGTGCGGTGATTACACCGTTTGGTGGGTGAGTAAGTGGGCATCCGGGGCCACCGCGCGGTTTTGGGACTCGGGTCGTTCTCTCCCAGGAGGGTCCCGGGCGGCTGGGGCCTCCAGGGTCCCAAAACCGTGGAGTGGACGGACCGAGCGGTGCGGTCGTTATGGATTCCATGGTCACCACGCGGTCCGTTACCACACGGCCTTGGGGCCCCACATGGTCCAGATTCTTTCTCCTTGCGGCATTTGGGCAGAGAGGCGAGTGTGCCACGCAGGCGCAGCGAGCCTCCGGCGCGTCCCGCCGGCGCCGCAGCTCGCCGCAATTGCTCGCCGTGCACGCGTCGGCCAAGGCACCCGCATCATGTCGCCGTCCGCGCCCTCCATCCCCTGGCTCAAGCAGCCATGATGCGGGGCGAGCCATGCAAACAGCGCGCAGTGGGCCCAGGATGGACCGTGCGGGAGCCCGCCGCGGCGGCGCCGGCGGACGCATAAGCCGCTGCGACCGCGTCTTCGCGCGGGGCTCCCGATGACCAGCGTCAGCGTCGCCGTGGTCCACCCTCGCCTGGGCAGCTTGGCGGTCTGTGTGGACAGGGAGCTGGCCATCCACTGCGGGCAGTCGCTGCGCCTCGTGCAGCGGATCCCCGAGGCCACGGGCTGTGAGGACGTGGCATGGCACCCGCAGGGCCCCTCCCTCGTGGCCTTTGTCCCGGGCGCCTCCTCGGCAGCCGTGATGTTGTTCACCAGCGGTGGCGCCGCGGACACGTCGGACTGCAGGCAGCTGCGCTGCGTGCACACGTACCACCTGCCCTGGGCGGGCGGCCTGGGGGGTGCGGGAGTGTGCCTCGGCGAGGGCCACCTCCTCGTGGGCGGGGCTGACCTCAGCGTCTGGGGCTGCTCGTTCGCGCCCTGGCCCGAGGGCGCGCTGCCGGAGGAGGGCGCCCACCTCCTGCACTGCGCCGAGGAGCCCGACCTGCAGCAGGCGATGGGGCACCTGGGGCCAGTCACGAGGATGAGCCTGGACGGCTCCGCGCGCTTCCTGGCGACGCTCCACGGCCACGCCGAGAGCGCCGCGAGGGTGTGGTGGGCCGCCTCTGGCGAGGACGACGCCCACGGCCACGGCGTCCGCCCAGCCAGGAGAGAGGTGCCGGGCCGCGGCCGCCTGCCCCGCAGCACCGCGGAGGCCAAGTCGCCGGTTGGCGGCACCTGCGTCCTGCTCCTGTCGCACGGCGAGCCCCTCGTGGACGTGTCGTGGGCTCCCTCTGCCGCGGGCTCCGGGTCGTGCCATCTGGCCGTGATCGCCACCCTGACGGCCGGGGGCACCGTCACCGTCTGGCGAGAGAGCGCACCCGAGACGCCGCTGGCCTTCCTGGTGGAGGCCCTCTGGCACCCTGGCGAGCTGTGGGCAGGGGCGCCCTCGTGCGCAGTGGCAGCACGCTGCTCCTTCAGGTGGGCCGCCCTGGGCCGCTGCTGGAGCCTCGACGAGCGCCCCGAGGTCGCCAGCGCCACAGACTGGGGCGACAGGCCTGGGCTCCCCCTGCGATCGAGCGGCCACCCTGCTGGCGTCGCCGAGGGGCCGTTGTCGACCGGCAGGCCCTTCTGCCACGCTGGGGGGACCTCCATGCTGGTCCTCCTGCGCGGCGACGGCCAGACGGCTTCGGTGCACCTCCAGGCTGGCTGTGCGGGCGCAACCTCTGCGGTGCAGCCGCTGGCGGTCCGGCATGCCGCGCTGCCGTCCCTCGCTGCCGTCGGCGGCTGCACGGCAGCCGCGCAGTGCAGCTCCAGCCTTCTGCACGTCGACGCCGAGGGGGCGGCCGCGAAGGACGCGCTGGAGCTGCTGCTGGGCCGCGGCAGCGACGTCTATCGCGTCCGCCTGGAAGACGGCGAGCGGGCGACTGTGCTGGCAGTGGCCGGGGGGCTCCTGGGCGGTGAGCCGCAGGCGGGGCCGGGCCCCCACGGCGCCGAGCGCCCGGGCGCCGCGGAGCCCCTCGCGGTCAGGGCCGTCGAGGTCCACCGGACGCTGGGCTTCGTGGCCTGCCTCATGCAGGGCGCCGCAGAGGAGGCGAGTATAGTGGGATCGATGCTACAGCATTGAGGTACACCCCAGAAGTAATATTTCCCCCCCTTCGGGAGAATCCACGAGAACCCGTAGGATGGGGGTATCTTTTCGCGCCCTTCGGCGAGCACAGCAAGTCTGGGGGTCCTTGCAATTCTGTAACTACCCAGAGATCCGACATCGTGATCAATTCAATACGGGGTCCCCGGAAGTCTCGACCCATTCCCCCGGACTGGTTTCTCATCCTGAGTCGTTTTTGACGGTCCCGGGGCCCGGCGAAGGCCACCAGAGGCCGAGCATCGGGAAAAACTTGCGTCTTGATTTTGTCCACGCGTTGGAGATCTGGGTAGTCGGTCTCCTGCTCGAAGGGGGCCTCCACCGTCTGGATCGGCGAGGTGCCCTGCGGGCGGGCCTCCCTGGCGGCAGGCCGCCACGCGGTGCCCAGGGGCGCCCTGCAGCGCGGCAGCCTGGGCTCGCTGCAGGTGGGCGGGGGGGCGCGCGAGCTCCGCTGGGCGCCCGGCAGCGTGGTGCCGCCCGTGCTCCTCCCGAAGGCGAAACGGCGCCGCAGGCGGAAGCTTTGGGCGCTCCGCGCGGGTGTCTCGGGCCCCGCGCCTCCGGCGCCGCGCCCGGCGCGCGCCGCGCGCCGGGGACCCGGACCTCTCCGACGCACTGGCAAAACCAAGAGGGAGGTGTTTCTCGCCTCTCGGCCTCTGTGGCGGCCCTCGCCGGGCCCCGGGACCGTCAAAAAACGACTCCTATAGGATGAACCACCGGTCCAGGGGAGGGGGTCGAGACCTCCGGGGGCCCCGTATGGATAAGATCACGACGTCCCTGCAAGACGCATCGAAAACAAATAGATGCGCTTAGATGCGATCGCGCCCTGGCGCAGGCGAGCAGCCCATCGTATCTATTTTTCTGCAGCGACGATAATATAGATACTATAGCCCCCTCCCCTAAAGATCCGATGCTGGATCTTTGGGGATGGGGGCTCCGGCGCGGATCTCTCCAAGAAGCCCGCGCGGAGCGCCAAAAGTTTCTGCTCGTGGCGGGCTTTTTCCTCTTCCAGCCTCGCCGTGGGCCGCGCGGGCGGCGAGCTGCTCGCGTGCGCGGTGGACCCCGTGCGGGGCGTCGTCGGGCCTGGGGCGTGGGCGGCGGTGCTCCGGGGAGGATTGAGGGCGCCGATGCCTCTAAGTATGCTCTTATAAGTCGGGCCTCTCCCCCTACAGGGGTATTTTCGACGAAACATTAAAAATACCCCTAAAAATAACCAACAAATGCTAAACAAATAGTCTGGGGACTATGTTTTGTATATTGTTGATCCTTTTTGGATTATTTTTCAATTAAAAGAAATCGTAGAAAATCCCCCTGTAGGGGGACACGCCCGACATAAGTACACTCTTGCCCCATATTTCCCCCTCTTCGGCGGGCCTCCTGGGAGGCCCCCGCCTCGAAAATTCTGGTCAGGGCGCCCCCGAGGAGGGGCCCGATCGGGGAGCAGCAGCACAGGCCAGCCACAACTGGGGGAGCTGTGTTCCTTACCCCCCTGGGGGGCCCATCGATTTCGACGCCCCTCTCGAGAGATCGTCGATGCGATGGGTTCCCCCATGGGGGTAAGGACCACAGCTCCCCCAGTTATGGCTGGTCTGCAGTAGGTATCGAAGACGCCTACGGCGAGTCGACCCCGCCCCCATGCCTTGTGGAATCGCCTAGATGTGCCCGAACGCTGTGTGGCCTGAGCTCTGTCCAGCTGTTGGATCACGGGTTCTCCCCGCCGTTGTGGAAACTCTTCGGGGAACACGCGGGGGAGAAAGAAGAAGCGGAGGAGAGGAAGGACAACTGAGAGGAGGAGGAGGAGGCGGAGGAGGAGGAAGAGGAGACGGAGGAGGAGGAGGAAGAGGAGGAGGAGGAGGAGGAGGAGGAGGAGGAGGAGGACTCTTGGGGCCTTCTGGGAGCTTCTTGTGGGCCTCTCGGAAGCCTCTTGGAAGCCTCGTTGGGCCTGTTGGGAGTCTTTTGGAGCTTCTTGGAGGCCTCTTTGGCCGTCTTGGGACGTTTCTGGCCCGTGAGACGTTTTGGGCGTCGTAGAGGCTTCTTGGGCCGTCATGGGGTTTGGAAGTGGCTTCCACGAAAACACGCAAGGGCCATATGCATTGAGATTCGCAAGAAGATTATTGTATTTCCAAGGTCACGTTACAAGTAAGATGGCGTTACACAGCCACGGGACGCCACCCTTCTCAATACAGAGGCTTCCGGTGCCTGCTGGTGCTCTCGGGGGTAATCTTGGGGCGGAGGGCTCGAAATGTCAGTTCGGCCCTCTTGGGGCCCTTTTGTGGCCCTCGGGGGGACCATCTCGTGGGCCTCTTGGGCCGTCATGGTGCCCTCTCGAGCCGTCGTGCGGGCCTCATGGAGGCATCTCGGGCCATCTCCGGGCGATCCTGGGGGCCTCGTGGGCCGTCTCGGGAGCCTCGTGGCTTGTCTCGGAGGCTCCTCCTCCTCCTCCTCTTCCTCCTCCTCCTCCTCCTGCTCCTCGTAGCGCGACAGCACGCGACAGCACGCGGCAAGCCACGAGAGTGCCCCGAGCCCGGGGTTGTCTGCCCCTTTGCAGAGCGTCACAGTATATTCGATGCAGAGATCTCTGAGGGACCTGAGGACGCTCCTCCTCTGCCTTTTTTCTTTTGTTGTTTATCTCTCTCTCTCGTTCTCTCTCTCTCTCTCTGTTTCTCTATGTGTTGTTTCTTTATGTTTTCTTTTTCTTTTTTTTTGTTCTCTCTCTCTCTCTCACAATACATCCCGCGTCCCTGCCTCGCCCGTGCACGTGCCTCGGACCATGAGATGCGCTGATCCCCCTCTTCTTGGTCGCCTTCTTCGGCGCCCCTGAGACAGCCACCCAGGCATCCGACCAAACATTTTACTTCCACCCGCGCCCCCAGATGTCTCGATCACTACCCTGGGTTTCTTGATAAGCGTTGGGGGTACCCCCCCGACGGGGGTCAACCTCGCCTCGTCGTTGCGCCGCGACGGGGGTCGGAGCGCCTTCGGCGCGCGGTGGCTGCCCGCGACGGGGGTCGATGCGGGGCTGACGGCGCTTGTCAAGGAACTCGGAGTACACGAGGTTCATGTCGGGCCTGTCCCTCGACAGGGGGAAAACAACAATAGTCAAAAAATAGTCCAGGGACTTGTTTTGGAGTATGTTTCACTATTTTTGAATATTTGTTGACTATCTTTTATGATTCGTCCAATACCCCCCTGTAGGGGGACAGGCACGACCTAACACAAGGGGCAGCTTTCCGCATTGGACCCGTTTTTGGTGCCCCCCTGGGCGGCACCAGGACGACCACAGGGGCCCCCCAGGCGGCCCATGACTTTCGCAAGGTTGGTTACTAGTTGTGTGTATGACGCACAGGGTCTTAACACCAAGAGGGGACCAGAACACTGAGCACGCGATCTCGCGCCCTCAGTGTACGAGCGCTTTCCGTTCCCGTGCCAAACAGGTCGAGTGGCCGTCGGCCAATCCCGCCACCGTGCCTGGGTTGTGGGTCTGAGGCCTGGAGTTTGGAGACAGTTTTGAAGCCTCTGGGGCGCTGATTTGGAGCCCATGAGGGCCTCCCCTGGGGGCCTCTTGGGGCCCCTCGGTGTCGGTACCTTTCTCTTTCCCCAGGTGCTGCGGGGCGCGGGCGGGCCGGCGGTGCGAGGCGTGCAGACGCTCGGCACCGCGTCGGAGGCGGACGGCGAGAGGGCGATGCTGTGCCTGCTGTCGCTGCCGGAGGCGGGCCCTGCTGCTCCAGAGCTCACGCTCGCGCGGCTGAGCGTGCCCGCAGGGGGCGGTGCGCCACACCTGGAGGTCTTCTTTGTTCACCAGCCGAGCGCGCCGTGCCTCGCTCTCCGCCGGCCGCGGGCCTGCCTCGCGGTGGAGTGGCTGGGCGCCCCCCCGCAGCTTGCCGCGGAGGGGCCCGCAGGCCCGGCGCCGGCGCCAGGCGGGGGGGAGGGCCTGCTGGGCCAGATCGCCGTTTGCTGCGCTGGCGAGGGCGCGGACGGCCCTGAGGCTGCAGACCCAAGGGTGTACACGCTGGCCTCTGGAGACCAGGGCGTGTGTGCACGGGACGCGCTAAGTGCGCACGTCGGGCCACACGGCCACGTCCTCGGCCTCGCCCTGCACGGCGAGTGGCTGGCGGCAGTGGCCTCGAGCGCGGAGGTGCTCATCTGGCGCCTCACTGCCGCCGTGGAGGCCGGCGCTGGCTGTGAGCCCACCGCCCAGGCCTCTCTCTTTCGAAGAAGAAGAAGAAAAAGAAAAAAAGTCACAAGCATAAACTTTCGGAGGTCCGCGCGGGTTACTTCGATCGGCGCTGGGCCGCCCCCCTGGCGCGTGGGGCGCTCCGACGGGCGACGCTGGGAGGCGTCGCCAGGGGGATACCGTGCCGGTCCGAGGAGTCCGCGCGGGACCTCCTACAGTCTACCAGGCAGCTGGATGCGCATGGCGTGGCTGGCCTGGGCGAGAGCTGGATCACTTGCACGTGTGGTCGCATTTCTTCCCAGCGCTCGGCCCGCCTGTGGCCTGGCACGGTGGGCTTCCACGTGTGCATCCGGCACGGGGCCGTTGGCTGGCCCACATGCCAATCCAGCCATGTGTGCCTCCAGCTTCCTGGCATGCTTAGGCACGCTGTTCGGACGGGGCTAGGGCGAGGATAGATCCGTCCTAGAGCTTTACGAAGCGCTCTCAGAGCGTTTCGGAACGCTCTGAGAAAACCGCGACGCCCGATGCGTCCTCCAGAGCCGCCAGGTCCAAGAGATCCTGCTCGAGTGACCCTCTCCCGATGCTGCTCTCGTCCTGGCCTCGTCCTGGCGTCTCAGCTCTGTCCCTTCCCCCAGGTGTTCCAGCGGATCCCCCTCTTCACCCGCAGGGTGCACCTCGGTGGCGCACCGCCCGAGGGCGCGGGCGCGCTCGCCGCGCGCCACCGCGGGGACGCCGGCCAGGGCCGGGAGCTGGGCTCGGCGCGCGCCGCGCTGCACCGCTTCGCCGGGGGCGGCCTGGGCATGCTCGTCTCGGGCTCGTCCGAGACAGACGTGGCTCTGCCGATGGTGATCGTCCGCACCAGGAGCGCTGGCGAGGGCGAGATCTGGCGGGCCATTGATGGGCCTGTTGTCCACCGCCACCTCCAGAAGCTGGAGGGGGGAAGGATGTGGAGGACGAGGGGTGGAGGGCGAAGAGGAGAAGGAGGAGGGAGGAGGAGGGAGGAGGTGGAGGAGGAGGAGGAGGAGGAGGAGGAGGAGGAGGAGGAGGAGGAGGAGGACCCCCTCCCCCTGCAACTTCTGGTGGTGGTGGTGGAAAGCAGGCCCATCGGCCATGGACCTCCACGCGGACGCGCTGCCGATGAGCGCCCTCGCGCTCGACTGGAGCCCCGACGGCGCGGTGGTGCACGCCGGGCTGGCCGGCGGCAGGGCTCCCGGGCCAGGGGCGCCGCCGAGGCCCGCGCTGCTGGCGTCGAGGCTGCCGGACAGCGCGCTGTCCTGGCTGGCCAGCTCCGCGCCGTGCCCTGCGTACCATCTGATGGGCCCGTTGTCTACCACAACGACCATAAGCAGGAGGCGGAGGACGTCCTCCTCCTCCTCCTCCTCCTCCTCCTCCTCCTCCTCCTCCTCCTCCTCCTTCGCCTCCACCTCCTCCTTCTCCTCCAGCTCCTTCCCCCCTCCAGCTTATGGTGGTGGTGGTGGTGGTGGTGGTGGAAAACCGGCCCATCACCATCCGGACACCCTGATCTGGCTGCTCCGCAGCAACAACATGTTCGGTAGCAAGTCATGGGGGTCGTTCGACTGCACTCCCAGACCTCCAACGTATGGAAAAAAAACAAGATGGAAGTTGTTCTCCATTTTTGGCCTCTAGCGGCCCTCACCGGGCACCAGGACCGTCAAAAAACGACTCAGGATGAAAAACCGACCCTGGGGAAGGGGCCGAGACTTCTGGGGACCCCCCCCGTATTGAAAAAATCATGACATCGGATCTCTGGGCTAGCGTCCATGAGCGTCCGGTAGTCGATGAGATGGCGCCTTTTTCATCGTCGAGCAGCGTCGACGTCTCGCGTCGGCCAGCATCCATCAGCGTCGACTCGCAAGAGCCAGCAGGCTGGTAGGTGAGGCTCCCGTGCGTTGCCGCCGAAGACATGCACGCCGCCCAGCACATCATGCGGAGCCTGCTGGCGGTCCTGTCCGCCCCACGCCCGATGGGCATCCAGCCGCTGCTGGACGTCTCGCTCGACGAGCTGCACGCGGCGAAGGCGAGCGCCGGGGGCCCACCGCCGGAGGGGCCCGACGTCGGGGCGGCCGCCGCGGAGGCCGCGGGTGCCACCGCCGACTCGCTGTTCGGGGGGGAGGACTCGGAGGACGAGTTCGAGGCGCGCCTCGCGCGCCTCAGGCGCGCTTTCGAGGACGGCGCGGCGGAGGAGGAAACTGGATATACCCCGACCTCCGGCAGTGCATGTACTTTGTCTGGGCGCCAGCCGGAGTTTTCCGTTGGATGGGAACCACACACAATTAGGGTTCAGTCGGGACTGTCCCTTTACAGGGGGGATATTCAAAAATAGCCAAGAAATAATCAGGGGACGATTGTGTGACAATTTTTGTTTTGTTGTTGTTGTTGTTGGTGGTGTTGTTGTTGTTGTTGTTGTTGTTGTTGGTGTTGTTGTTGTTGTTGTTGTTGTTGTTGTTGTCGTTGTCGTTGTCGTTGTTGTTGTTGTTGTTGTTGTTGTTGTTGTTGTTGTTGTTGTTCTTTTTTGCCTGTCAGTATTTATGTTTCGTCCAAAATCCCCCTGTAGGGGGGACGACCCCAAAATTGGGGGTGTCGTGGTCGGCGGCGTTCTGGGGGAGCGCGCCGCTTCCGGCCAGATCTGGGCCCGGAAGCGGTCGGGGGCGGCAGAGAGGCGGGAGCCTGTTTTTTTATAGACTCTGGCAAGTTTACTTGCATGGACGGGTGGGGGGGGGACCGGGGGGGGGGGCTGAGCCTGAAGCAAGGCGCAAACAACCTGCACGTTCGGGGGGGCGCGGAAATCACGCAAGTCGAAAGGCACTTGCACGCTAGTATTCGCTTGAAGAGGGGCTAGGGGGGGGGGGGGGGGCGAACGCCATGCAAGTAAACTTGCCTGAGTCCAAAAAATACAGGCTCTGGATATCATGGCGGGGGCCATGACATCTCGCCAGATTTCGTGGCGCCTCCTCTTATTTCGTTACGCCTCTGGCCCCGCCGCTGGGCCGCGCACACGCCGCCGGCCATGATCTGCACCCCCCCCCGTCTTGCACCCCCCCTCTTGGCCGCTCCCGAAGAGGTGCCCCGGCGAGCCCTCGTGCCCTTCCCGCCCGCGCCTCCTCCCGCAGCGCCGGCGTGGAGGTTCCTGCCCGCGCGCCTGTGCTTCTCTTTGGTTTGGCCCTGGCGCCTGTCGTCTCTGCTTCGGCCTCTGGTCATCGAGCACCCTTAAAATCGGGGGTGTGCAGAACCCCCAACAGTGACACGTCGATTAGTGAATTGTCCGTTTTCGGTTCTCGAGATGGCGCCGTGGCCGTTATTTTCCACGCTTGCGCCCGCCAGGTTTGGGCCCCAGGTCGTTTTCACTAAACCACGTTTTACCAAAGGGGGGTCTGTCCATCCCTAATAAAAACCAGAATCACACGCTGAAGACGTGGCCTCGCTGAGGTCCCCGTCTTCGCACTGTAGGGACCATAGCGCTGGGCGGTCTGCTCTGATACATCTGCAGAAAACGACCTCCTTATCCCTAGAATGACTTTGGCCCTCCTAACTTAGGTCCCCTCTCCAAAGGGTTTGGGGCTTTTTGCTGGTAGTAATCTTGGGCCCCTCATCGGGGCCCTGGGGACTGGGGGTGGGGATCTCCCTTCGAAGAAGAAACACACACATAACATAAACTTTTGGCGCTCCGCGCGGATTTCTTGGATCCGCGCTGGGCCCCCCCGGCGGCGCCTCCGGCGTCGCCCCTGGCGCGCTCCGCGCGCCAGGGAGGGGGGTCTAGAGCGAATCCAAGAAATCCGCGCGGAGCGCCAAAAGGTTATGTTTATATGGTTTTTCCTTCTTCTATCCCTGGGGCCGCGCACTGGACAAACACTGATCGCCCGACGTCGTGTATACCCCGGTGCCGCGGACTCCGCCCCGTCCGTCGCCGCGGCTCGAGCCGCCTCGGAGTCTTGGTGGGAGCGCGGCCCTGGGTGGTCTCCCTGGAGTCTCCGCGGTAGGGGCATCGCTTTTCTGGCAATGCCAAGGAGCGTCACCACCCCAGACCCCCGTCGGGTCATGAGAAAATCACGACGGGGAGGTTATCGCTATTTTCGGCCTCTGGGGGCTCTCGCTGGCCCTCGGGAGCGTCAAAAAATGATGCAGGACGAAAAACGGGTCCCGGGGAAGGGGTCCAGACCGCTGGGGGTCCACGTCATGAAAAATGCATGGCGTCGGGGGTCTGGGAAGGGGGTCGCCACGACGGCAGTCACCACCGCCTCCAGGAGACGGACCTTCCTCCGAGCCCCCCCCCCGGGACATCCCAGGACCCCCCAGAGACACCCAAGACAAGAGCACCCAGAACCCCCTCGATCCTCGATCCTCCCTCCTCCTCGCTCCTCGAGGCCCAGTTCCTCGCCCCTCGATCCTCCCTCCCCCTCATCCCAGGACTCCCCAGAGGCACCCAGGAGCACCCAGAACCCCCCCGATCCTCGATCCTCCCTCGCTCCTCGAGCCCCGGGTGGAGGCGGCGACTCCCCGACCCGGAGCGCCGACGCCGTGCTTGGCTCACCCGCGTGGATCTCCGAAGGCCGCGGCTGGCTCCCCGGCCAGATCCCCGCTGGGCCCCAGGGCCCAGGGGAGGGGCA